ATTAGATTTACTATTTAATTGGAGGCTAAAAGAAAATACTCAAGAGAACATTTTTATAATAAAAAGCAATTTTATTTGATTTAACCGTTTTTTTTTATTAATTATTAAATTAACGGATTAGTTGTAATGACTTCCTGCGATCCTCACGAAGTTAGAAACCCTTAGATTGCTTAAAATGTCCAAGTTTGGCTCATATTGTTTTGTCACGCAGTAATACGCCACTTATTCCTTTGATATGGTAGATTATTATCACGTAGCTTTGATCTATATCGCTTGAGATGGCAATATCTTACTGATATCTAAAGGTGAATATACACTGGAGCATTTTCTCGAGAATTTCTATATAATGTAACGTTCTTACGAATGGTAATAGCACAGTTTCCAGAGCACATGTGGTTCGGAAAAGATTAAAACAAGTCATAGAGCGTCTCGTTCTATTGCAAGTGAATGCTCGAGTCTACACTCACCTTTATATACGTCCTTTGTAATTTCTAAAGCAGTTTTTTTATATCATAAGGTGGCAAACGAGCGAGCGGCCACCTAAAATCGCTGAAATAACGAAGTGACTGGAAGGGAAAGAGGACTAAATTAGGCCTCCGGGACGCACACTCAAACCTGTCTTCTGTGTGGTCGTGGTATTTCACCGAGCGCGCCGGGTCAATTCGTGCGAAGATGTTAAAGCGGGCTCTACCACTGTCTTCTAAAGCAGTGACGTCATTAACCAAACGGTCATACCATTCGCTTATAATAAGCAGTTATAAGGGAGTCACTTTATTGTTATAAAAAAACAAAGCATTGTTTGTTTTTACTGATATTGATCTTAAAGCTTTAATTTTATAATAATAGATATTGAAAAAAATTCTAGATTATTGAACGCTTATTGCAGTTGGTTACTTATAGATAGCGTTGTCATCGTGATCATCATCAGCTCACTATACGTCCCCACCGTGGGGGTCGGGGCATACCCTACCCTAAGTTAAGGGTTATTGAGCCATAGTCAACCACGCTGGCCCAGTGCTGGTTGGTTGACACTAGGTTTTGTTTTTCGACAGTGGTAATTTGCATGAGCTTGCGTGTGTGAAGATCCCTGTGGAATCATTAATTACATAACTCATTTATGCAATACGATTAGTGTCATAGCATTTGGTGTCAGCTGTTACGTAATCGTGGCCATTGTGGATGCATCGCTTGTTTATATGGATTATAGAAATGCTATGATGTAATTAATGAGATTGTATATGTGTTGAAGTCGGTCGGGCTGTCATAACAAAAGTATGAATATATACGTTTTTTTTATCACATATAGAAAGATGAAGACAGGAACGTTGAAAGATCAAATCGTAAGCCTTAGGTACTAAAGTCTTGAAGAAAGTAGTAATTGATTCATCATCAACCTGCCCTTATCCCTATCGAGGGTCGGCACAGTATGTACTCCTCCATACATCTCTATCAGCCGTCATATCCGAGTCTACCGCCTTCCTACGCATCCTCTTTCACAGTCATTCAAACTAGCAATTGATTAGCGATAACAATATTAGAAATGAAAAATGTATGGGTTTAAATACGAGAGAAACACGTGAGAGAATGATTGCCAATTCAATGTTTTTGACTTTTCCGTTTTGTCCGAAGTTGATTGGTCTATTTGACGTGTATTCCTTTGAATAATTACTATCTCTAACGTCGGTATGACCACAGTGTCAGACGTCACGTCATTTATTTGTTCGCTTTAAGTCCAGTATTGTGTCAATATGGCACGAGCGTGACTCAGTTATACAGTAAATACTGATAAAACCTGACTGTAACTGCTCAGTTGTATTAATGTACTCAGATTTTTTAATTTAAAAAAAATGTAAGTCTATGGCTGTTGGTGCGTTGATGTCCCCAGGAAAAATAGAAAAATTGTCTATTGTTTATTCTATTCATATATTATAAGTAGTTAAAATGTATGGTCTGAGTTACGGAAGTTTATTGCTTAAGGATAAGGTCAACTTTTTTGTTTTAGCTTGAAGGAATTCTTTCGATTTATGACATTTGTTATTTGATGTCATGAATGTTAAAAGAATAGCTGGAAAAATAGATGATTAAAAAATTAAAAAAAAAACATTTGATATAGCAAGTTGATAAATTATTTGCATTATATCTTGCAATTGTCGTAAACTTTCAAGGATAGCATTTACATAACGCACGTAATAACATTTTATAGTCTTAATAAAGTTGAACGTGATAAACATGATAATTGCTGGACTAATCATTGGTTGATTTCAAACATTTGACATTAAATTCAATTAAATTAATAGTGAAAAAATAGCAATGGGTTTAGTAAACCTAGATAAGTGAGAAACCTTTATAAACGAAAGTCAATTTCCGGTCTCAACCTTCGACCTTCATAAGCGAGATTGTTAGAAAACTTCTGTAAGTTTATCTTGATTCGTATGTAAATCCAACCGAACGCCGTGTTCAAAACACGTGTTCTTCACTCATCATCAACGCGTGGATGTTACGCGAATGCCACGGCGAGGTGGCTGACAGTAATTCAAAGATTACCTTGACCAATACATTAAATCAAATCCATGTCTAATAAAATATGTCATACAATGAAACTTTTATTCGTGTATTATTTTGATTTAAACATATGGCCGCATATTTAACACAGCAACGCAACGCATCCTCTGGTATTGCTGATGTCCATGGGAGTCGTAGAACTCCTCGGTGTTTCCGCTGCTCGTTTGCCCCCCGTCTGTTATAAAAAAAAGTTCTTTTATTTTACTAAATTGTGATTAGTAATTACAGAGAAGTAGGATTTATGATAAGGTTTTGTTAACCTGCAGTGTGTTATCAATCGACCGGGACGTACAGCTGGCTGATAAGCCCGAGTATTTGGTAGATTTAGCCATTAGCCGATGACTCAACCATACTACGAATGAAAACAATTTGATAAGGAATACCTAAAAATATTGAATGATTAAGGTTTTTGTTTGGTTTTATTTTTGTTTTCACTGCAAAGCAAGTTTTTCTCTCATTTTTTTAAAGGAGTAAATGAGAAATGATTATCTTTTATTGCGTGTGATGAAGAGTTTTTTTTTTATTTTACAACGAAAATATCGCATTCTTAAATTATTCCGCATTTATATTTATTTGTAGGTGTTCAGTTTTTTTTTTTTATTTTAAATCTTTGTAAAAATGTACAGACAAGTGCACGTTTTCATGTTTAAGATACGGAAATCTCGATGGAATTATACTGTGAAAAGTTAAAAGACTTTGCACATAATCAAATAACCTTGGCGGTATCAGTTGATCCTTTAAGATGAATACAAAAAAAATATATATAAATACGTCGATATCATAGGGGTCTGTAATATTAAGTAGTAATAATCCAAGTCGTCGGTGGCTCAGGGGTTAAGCACTTGCTTGCAATCTTGGATTCGAATCTTGCCATATACCAATGTCATGCGATTTTTGATTTACATATGTACATTTGTCCGACGTTCTTACCGTGAAGGAAAACATCGTGATACAACCTGCTCATAAGAAATTCACAGATGTGTGTAAAGTCAACCAACCCGCACTAGCCAGCGTGGTTGACTATGGCCTAGTCACCCCTAACTTAGGGTAGGCTCCGAGCCCCTCAATGGGGACGTATACTGAGCTGATGACGATGGATACTCCATAATCCATTGTAATGTTTTTTTAAATCGGCGGTCGTCCACAACTTCGCCAGCACACCATTATAAAACATAGTCTAACTTTCGCACACATAAGCTACCTTACAGTAAGGGTCCCGAAACATTGGTCCATCAGTTTCGAATACCTGAAACAAACATGGTCTATCGAACAAAGTTTGAAAATATATTTTTTTATAACTAACACAAATACATTACGTGCACCAAATATCAATGTTTGATTTCTCTATTTACAAATACTCCATTTTTACATATCGTATAGATAGATACAATTTGTTCACTTATTATATTGGTGTTCAATGTCTTAAAGTAGATATAAAGATGAACCATGAGTGTGTCATCCTCGTCTCTTATCATAGTGAATAAGAGATGACAGACGGTGCCTTGTTATGCGGCTCGAATCTCAGGCGAGCTGTGCGCAGAGCTGCGACATTTAATAAATATAGCAGATAATCCTAATACCAACGACAACAAACGATTAGTTAAAAGGCGACCTATGACAAGGGTCCTTCAAGTAGCGAGCGTATCACCATCTCAAAGGCCGGCAAAGCATCTGCGGTTTATCTGGTATTGCTGGTGTCCATGGGCGAATATGAACACCTCGGTGTTCCCGGTGCTCGTCGAATCTTGATCTTTACCTAAAATAAAGATGGCTTTTTCACATCCCAAAGATATCAATGTCAACCCCTTACTCCTAATATAAAGCATGTATTATTAAAGGGAAGAGGTCGGTGTACTTCTTGAAGTGCGGTCATATTGTTATCTCTACCCTATTTAATATGTTGAGCAATTTAATCTTATACCGAATGAAAAATAAACTATTTGTGTAATAGATATGATAAAAAAGATAACTCTTATTTCATAATGAAAAAGTTTTAGCTTGAGAATTAAAACAACGGTGATCAAATTTCAGCATATATAAAGTTTTAGCTTGCAAAAAGTCCAACAAATAGGATACTTTTTTTAAATTACCCATTTACGGTAACAGGAGACGGATACGCGATCCTGCAGTGCCTCACTCTGTTACTTAAGACACATGTAATAACACTCACCGTGGGTTTCTTAGTCCAAAATCTCCCTTTAAAATATACTGTTATCTCTGTGTTGTCAAACATAATGACAGGTTGACATTTAATATTAGAAAACGATAGGTAGTCTTCAAAATTGTTGATCGTATAAGATCCTTTTTAAATCAAATGGAACGAAACATACAGTACTTAATCTACGTAGATATTTAACACGTTCAATGCCACTCAAATATTTACTTGTCCGCGGCTTTAACGTGTTAAATCTGGATTGTAAGTGTTATGTTTGTTGCAGCCAATCATTCAGAAGTATTGTCCATCGATCGCAGCTGGTGGCGTATCGTGTTGCAACATTCAGCAACTGAAGAATTTCGAGAGCAAGATTATACAGGCAGAGAATCTGCTGGTGCGTTGTCCTGCCTGCTACGAGAACTTCCTGCAACACATCTGTGGCATGACCTGCGCTCCCGACCAGAGCAAGTTCATCAAACCCGTCAAGAGGTCACTTAACAAAGGTAACCTGGTGCTGGTGTAGTAGTTCCCGAGAAGTCTCAGTTATATCCTCGTGACTTACCATTGTTGAGTACTCATGCCATAAAAAAAGTTGAACTCGTCTATGATACTGTCATTACAAAGACCCAGAGTTAAGTAAAGTGTTTTTTTTTTAATTAATATAAACTGTTCATTATTTTCAGATAAGAAGGAACAGATCGAAGAGATTGACTATCATCTTGGCGCTACTTATATGAACTCTACATTTGATTCATGTATTCAGGTAATAGAATAGATTCTTACTTTTGTACATATATAATGCTATTAAAATCTGAAAACTTGTAGCAACCACATGTGAGAGTATCACTGCTATGTTATTATACACGCTTATCCAATCATTTAGTCAAGATTTAAACTGTTGACACATTTATTGCCACACGAAGAGTAATAAAGTGTTCATTAAGCATTATTAAGAGCTTTGAGGTTGGCAGTTAGATGTATTCTTGATAAATCCAGGTACAAATGCCGTCAAGCAACCAGCGCGCATTGGATCTGATGTGCGGGCGGTGGGGCGCGGTGGATTGCACGCCGCAGCGGTGGTTCGACTTCATGGGTGACGCGTCCACCCTGCTCGTGCCTTTCCAGATTAACTACATTTCGGGTGACGAGCCCGTTGACCAGTTTGTTCCCTATCAGCCCCCTACCAGATCCTGCAGTGCCAGTATCAACGTAAGATTATCATCCCTTATATAAATGGACTAGCAATCGCCCCCGACTCCGGCAACGCGGAATTTAAATAAAACTTAATAAGTAGCCTATGTGTTCTTTCAGACTATGTTCTACATCTATGCCAAATTTCAGCGTGATCCATACAGCTATTGTCGAGATACCTTCAAACAAACACCCATCGATCCATCCATCCATCCAAATCAAATCCATCCAATTTGAAAGACTCCTGCAAAACTAATAGAAGTGAAATTGCAAAGTTAATGTCGATCGAGATCATTTTGAAGAATCGTTCCACTTTATTAAAATTTTCGTATTTGTAAAAAACACATAAAAAATAGTATTAAAGTAGAATTATAACACAATGTGAAATTTTTCCACTAAATACTAGTGAAAATGGTACATAAGTACGTAAATAGGCCCTAAAAACAATAAAGAGTTATCCTAGTACGAACTTGGTGTGGTTGTGGTATTGCGCAGGACCAGCCGGGCTGTTCATGCATGGACTGCGCGGCGTCGTGCCCGGTGCCGCCGCCACCTCCACCTCCGCACCGACCCTTCACCATCATGGGCACTGACGGCTACGCTTTCGTCATGGCCATCATCTTCCTCATCTTCTCCACGCTCTTCCTCAGCGGCGTCTACTGCTGCAATCCCAACGAGAACCAAGTCGGTGAGTTGCATAACCTACAGTTGTTAGTTTACTATATCTCGAAATGAAGATTTCTTGATTGATCGAAATTGTAAGTGAAATGAGGTTATATGGACAGTGAATAACCTACTTTTTATTATAATTTTAATAGTATTTTATTTTAACTATAAGTTAACGAAGATTAGCAATCTACTATTTTTACTTTTGATATTCATTATTATCATTTTATTATCTTCTTTTCGATACAACAGTGAGTTTTGATGATTTGAGGTTATTTTGTTTATATCTCGCAATGATTGTTTTTATTATGTTTTGAATTCAAAATTTTATCGGTAACGCCATCTCGCTCAAGTCTACCAAAACATTTATATACTTTGTTTTTTTAATTTACAGAACAAATCATTCATATATAACACCTTGGTGTACAACACTATATTTATGTATTTATATATTATTGAATGCGTAATCTTTTTGCAGATACATTTAATATGGCAATGGTGATTCTGCTTTATTTAAATTTAGTTATTTGGTGATGGATTTTTTTATTTTATTTAAAACTAAACACGTAGAAAATATAAGATGGAATAATATTACAGATACTATATGTTAGAAAAAAATATATAATTATTAGTAATTTTTTATAAATGAAATTATTGGGTCTGTATTTAAAATTGTAAGGAATAGAAATCTATGGTTCCGATGTAAAGAATCGTATGTTTTAACCCAGGGTACAATATGTTTGTAAAATGTAAAATTGTGGGTTACGATTGTTTACATAGGAGCCACTTCAATTAACTGTGTAGTATTGTTCCATTGTAATTACGCACAAGGTGTTAGCTTTTAATTAAATATTAATATGATTTTTTTTAAAAATACGCGTTAGACTTGTGCGTGGTGGTTATTACCAATAAGGTGTTGGATATGAGTTACCATGCACTACGTTACTTAGTTGATTTCATTTATTACGAAACGTCTTATTAAAGTTATCTACTTCACAATCTGTATTGCATGGACACTTGTATTTTTAATTGATTTATTAATATGATATAAAATATCAACAGAAATCCACCTTAAAAATGAAAAAAAGCCAATAAGTTAGCCGGCAATAAAAAAAATATTTATATTTAAAAAAAAAATTTAGCTAAACAACTTTAAACCTTAAAGACGTGATTATAAGGTGTATTTCTGTACGGTATGATATTCAACGGTGCTAACGCGGTGCTTGGGGACAGACGATTGGGCGCGAGGCGGGGAGGACGTCCGCGGCGGCTCGGAGACCAGTCCGCTGCACAGCCACAGATCTAGTATGTATCACATGCCACCACAGTACCACCACAACACCACAAAATCACCACCAATGTGATACAAATACCCCAACGACAAATTTTACCTTTTGCTTGAAATGGCACGTCCGATGTAAAAGAACGCTTATTTCCGATGTGCCAAATCAAATTCAGTTCACTATGGTAGACTTTAGTGTTAAAACACAATTAAAATTAGGATACCTTAGTATTTTCGAGTAAAATGTTAAAATTGCTTTAATTTATGTGAAAACAAAATTAATTATACTTATATACTTAAGTTTTAGTTATAGCCCATTGAATAAACTAAAATGGATTCCATTTATATACAACTAAATTATCTAATTTTATATTAGCAATCGTTAGTTTTGCTCCAGGTATTTATATATAGGTTTTACATAGTGGTATAATGTAATATAGATATTATAATATTTATTATGATGACTGATCAACAATAATTCAAGCTAATTGGTTCCTTAACACTTTTCATGCCATAATAAATCCGCAAAATGAAGACGTTGGCATTGAATGTGTTTATTCTTTACATTTCATCACTCTGACATTAAAATAATCTTAATTTCATTTGCTGACACTGACACATGTCAAAAGTCATAGACAAAAAATTCTATGGTTTTTCTGTACTCTACTAAATTGTCTATGGCACATTTTTTTATCTGTGTATAATTTTTTTTATTTGTTGTTGATCGGTTGTCTTTGTATGCAAGATATTTGTCGTTTAATACTTTATTTGCATGTTGTGTTTCTAACTTAATTATGGTTTTATGTATTATAAGTACATTTTGCATGGTATATGTTATGGTATAAGTAAAAGAGGATATCATCATCAGCTCACTACACCGAGGGGCTCGGACCCTACCCTAAGTCACGGGTGGCTAGGCTATAGTCAACTGTTGGCCAAGTGCGGGTTGACTTCACACATATCATTGAATTTCTTCTCAGATATGTGCAGGTTGCAACACAATGTTTTCCTTCACCGTAAGAACATAGGATAAATGTACATATGTAAATCGAAAATAGAAAAATACATTGGTACATGGCGGGATTCGAACCCAGGACCTGCAGATTGTAAGTCAAGTGCTTACCCCAAAGCCACCGACTCTCTGGTAAAGAGGATATATCTTTTACTATTACATAAATGTGTTATATTTGTATATTATGTATTCATTGAGTGTTTTGTATGGCGTTTCCAATGTTTTGTTTTTTATCGTGTCTATGTGCTGTAATTGTTCTTGTTCAAAGAAATACAGTAGGCTGTTTAGAGAAATAATTTTTTTTTCTGAATTTTTTTTTTAAATTATTTTATAGGATTTTATTGTTGAACTTTATACAAGCAAGAACTTTTTAATTGCACTGAAACTAAAATATAGTTATTTTAGGGTTTTTCTATGGTTTTTGGATTGATAGAAAATGTTATTAGAGTACGTAATTTTTTCTCGTAGTTACCTAATAAGTAATGTTTCGACGTTTTAACATCCTAAAACCTTAGCAAATATTGCCTCATATTAGTTTATTCTTTCGGTCTTTCTCAAAAAAACTTTATTATAAAGTTTTAGCTAATTTCAGTATTATTTAGATATTGTAAATGTTTAACGGTATCTTAGATTATAAATGAATGTATTTAATTCAGGTGTAGGTTCAGACACGAATCAAGAGATGTCAACAAACCCGACGAGTGTGGGTTGGACAGCAGACCAGGCTGATGGTGCTACTGACGCGACATTCTTCGAGCGTCTCGGCGCTGAGACTGAGACCAGGCTGGAGGACTTCTTCCAGTGGTGGGGGTGCATCATGGCCTCGCGACCTTGGATTATCTTGTCTCTAGGTATGGTACCTACTGAAAACATCTTATGTAGAACTTTAACTGTTGCCCGCAACTTCGTTCTATATATATATATATACAAGAATTGCTCATTTAAAGATATAAGATTTGTGGCAAATTTGGTTAACCACGAATTTTTGTCTAATTTAGTTTATTTTTACCTGTTGGTTATGTAATTATTAATTTAAGAGATGTGTTATTTGTGTTACAGGTCTATGTTTTGTGGTTTCCCTCGGCATCGGCATACAGTATATGCAGGTGACGACCAATCCCGTGGAGCTGTGGGCGTCGCCGAAATCCAGATCGCGTATGGAGAGAGACTACTTCGATACTCACTTCGAGCCATTCTATCGCACCGAGATGATTATCATCAGCTCCAAGGGTCTGCCGAAGATCGAGTACACCACTGAATCGGGCACAGTGCTCGACTTCGGGCCGGTCTTCAACTCTACTTTCTTACTGAAGGTGTTGGATCTGCAAGAGAGGATCATGGGTGAGTGAGACTAGGTGTAGCCCGCTGCTCCGCGCGACACTCTGTTCTAGACTATGTTCTATATCTATGACAAATTTTAGTGAGTTCCAGCTGAGTTCTGGAGATACTTTTTAATAAACATCCATCCATCTATACATCCAAATAAATGTATATAATGTAATTAGATTGTTCGATAAATTCGTACATATTTCTTATATATATACTATTATTCAAAAGGTAGCATAAAATACACCTGAATCTAGAACAATCGTTGATAAGTCACGTGTACATATTTAAAAAAAGGATAATTCAGAAATAAATGTGTGGAAATGTGTGAGAGTGAAAGAGAAAGAAACACTAATTTGGTTCATTCGAGAACTTTATAAAGTAGATTGAATATTGTAGCAAACTGAAACTGGACTTGGATTGCATGTCAAGTAGAAAGGGAGTGATTTATACTAGGTATGCCCGCGACTCTGTCCCCAACAACAAAATATTCTTACCAATCTCACATACTTTAATACTTTCTCAAACTTTCATCCCTTATTCCCTTCTGTTATTTTGCACCCTTGACGGTAAAATTTTTACTAACATTGAATGCTACAGTCTGAAGAAATTTATTTTTTAGTCTGTAAACAGACAGACAGAAACAAACAGACTAAAAAATACATTTCAAGCTTTTATCTGTAATTTCCAATACCCTTTTCAACCCACTTACATCCCCTTTTTCGTTAAAAAGTAGCCTACGTCCTTTCCCAGGGTCTAGACTAAGTACCAAATGTCATTTAAATAGGTTCAGTAGTTTTTGCGTGATAAAAGGACAAACAGACAGAGTTACTTTTGCATTTATAATATTAGTAAAAATGTATATGTTTCAGGTTTGGGCAACGAGACAAAGCTGGAGGACATCTGCTTCAGTCCGCTGCAGTCTCAGTTCTCTGCAGCCACCACCTCCTCCATGTGCGCGGTGCAGTCCATCTGGGGCTGGTGGGGGAACGACCGCCGCAACCTTCTCGACGATCTGGAGGATGATCTGTACCTCGAGAAGGTGTTAAGTTGTGCCAGGTCAATATTTATCTAAGTGTCGACTTACAAACCTGTCAAACTGTGCTCGTGTATTCACTTCTTTCATTATCATTGACTAGTTGTCGCCCGCGACACCGTCCGCGTGGAATGTAAAACAACTTAATTAGTTCCCGGCATTTATTCGAATTTTTCTTACCTTTTAAACCTTCCCTACACCTTCACATACATTTCAAGACAAAGATGAAATAAATCTGTTTTAGCGAGACTAACGAACAGCAATTGATTTATATATATAATTTATTTTTTATGTTACAAATTTCTTCATCGTAATGCTAAATTGTTTTGTTTTTTTTTTAATAAAACTTATTTTAAAGTCTAAATTAAACTGGAAGGAAATTACTTGTTTGTGATATTAATGGATTTTATGTAATCATATTTAGTGTATGTTTGTAAGAGCAAAACTTATATATAAAACATATCGTTATCCCTGTCGTTATGTTTGAGAAAACAGAGATGGCAACATGTTTAAAGTTAATTAAGAATGTGTTGTGTTATGTTGTGCAGCAACCCGTACCAGTGCCTGGCGCCGTACGGCGGACCCGTGCTGCCCGGCGTCGCGCTGGGCGGCTTCCTGACACCAGGAGAGCCCCTCACCACCACCTCGCGCTTCTACCAGGCCGACGCCCTCATCATCACCATACTTGTCAACAACAAACATGATCCCAGCCAGGTACCTAATCTTCGATCTTTATAAATAAACCTTATATTTTGTACCTATTATATTTTCGCCATTTTGGCGCTGATAGTAGCTGTTTATAGCGTTGGATGTTAATAGGAATTAATATAGATAGAATTAACTATCTCGTAACATCAACAGGCGCGATCAAGTGGGAACAAAATAAAAGCTGTCACTTTCAAGCGATTGCCTATCCATTTGTAGAGACCAGGTCCTAATGTACTGTTTACTCACTTTATTGCAGCTGAATAAAAAGCGCTGGCAATTATTTTCATTTAACTTTGTAAAAAAATGTGTGTACACACATATCTCCTTTTTCTTGTTTAGATATATGGAGGCCACTGCTAGACATAGGCCTCTCTCTTATACCTTACCCACTGATTCTTTATTAAATCTGTTAAAAATAACTCATTTCTCTTTATATACTAGTAAGTTTTTATTCCCTAGCTAAAACCTGCGTTGGAATGGGAGAAGAAGTTCATAGAATTGATGAAGAATTACACAGAGAATGAGATGCCGGAGTACATGGACATCGCGTACACGTCTGAGCGCTCCATAGAGGACGAGCTCGACCGCGAGTCGCAGTCCGACATCTCCACTATACTCGTCTCTTACTTCATCATGTTCGCATATATCGCTATCTCGCTCGGACGCTTCACCACCTGCTCCAGGCTGCTTATTGACAGCAAGGTCACCTTGGGATTGGGAGGTACGTGACAGTTACTATTGTGCTTATAAATGGCGTTGGATCGTGCGTACCCGTGATACCCGTGCGTACTCGTACGTACTCTAACAACCAATCCGAAGAATTTTACCTTTACAAATCTGTAAACAGATTTCTTTTTTGTATTATCAATTTAAAAACTATAATTTAATCATAAAGTGTGAATATTTCTCATTTCTATTGAATTTTAAACAACAATTTATGAAAGTAGAAAACGTACGAGCTAGTGTTTTGTGATATAAAGTTATATAGGTACTAGCTGTCGCCCGCGATTCCGTTCGTGCAGAGTGGAAAAAAACTTAATTAATAGCCTATATGTTCTTCCTGACTATGTCCTACATCTATACCAAATGTAATTCAGATTCATTCAGCCGTTCTGGTGATACCTTCAAACAAACATCCATCAATCAATGTAAATAATATTTTCAGGAGTGTTAATCGTGCTGGCGTCTGTGGTGTGCTCCGTGGGTATGTTCGGGTACGCGGGTGTGGCTGCCACACTCATCATTGTAGAAGTTATCCCCTTCCTCGTGCTGGCTGTGGGTGTCGACAACATCTTCATCCTGGTGCAGACCAGCCAGCGAGAGCCGCGTAGACCTAATGAGTCAGTTGCCGAACACATCGGCAGGACGTACGTACTATCTGATTTTTTTGGATGTTATAAGGTAACAAACAAGCGGCCATATGTATTCGCCGAAATGGCGAATTGTATTCAGCTGAAAATGGAACACACAGAAAGAGTTAATTTCACTTTCTATCAAACCCACTTCTCCTTCTCCTCCTTTCTTTAAAAGTAAAGGGTTGGAAGGAAGAATAAAATTAGATTTCCGAGATTTCTGTGTCCGTGTCTTCTGTGTGGTCGTATTGCACCGGGTGAGCCTATATATATAAATAATAGAAGATTTGTGTCCAGTCTGGGTCAGGTGGGGCCGTCGATGTTCCTGACGTCCGTGTCGGAGTCTGTGTGCTTCTTCCTGGGCGCGCTGAGCGACATGCCGGCGGTGCGCGCGTTCGCGCTGTACGCCGGCGCCGCGCTCCTCGTCGACTTCCTGCTGCAGGTCACCTGCTTCGTCGCACTCCTCGCCATCGACACGCATCGACAGAATGCTAACAGGTACACAGCTATGCATAAATTGAATACAACTAAATCACCGCATTGGGGTATTCACGACCGGGGAAAATGTAATTTTTTTGCTATTTCCGCAAAAAATAAGAAGTGACCGATGTCTTTACGTTTACATAAATCAATAAAGTTCGAGTGTATGTATGTACTATAACAAAAACACAATTAAAAAAAATTTGCTACTTTTTTTTTAATTTTCTGCTAACAAAGTCGCTAGCGAACGCTATTCTACAAGAAGAATCTCATTCATCAATACTACATTACTATGAATTTTATGAATTAAAGACAATACCTTCGAAATAATGAAGATTTAAATAAGATTAGAATAGTTTAGTAGATATAGATGCTTGTTTATGGTAGATTCGACGTGCTGTGCTGTGTGAGCGGCAGCAAGGTGGAGGGTGCGGGTGCGGCGGGCGAGGGCGCGCTCTACAAGCTGTTCCAGCACGCCTACGTGCCCTTCCTCATGCGCCGCGAGGTGCGCGCCACCGTCATGATCCTCTTCTTCGCCTGGCTCTGCTCCTCTGTCGCGGTCAGTAACACACTACCGATATCCCTCTAAATATTAAATCTTAATATTTCCATGTATGGATGTACGGATAGATGCTTGTTAGAAGGTACCTCCAGAACGGTTACATCTTGATGAAATTTGGTATAGAACATGGAAGAACTAGGAATTGTGTACGGTTCCCGTGCGATATGTTTGATTTAAATATTAAGTCGATAACTGAGCAAATATTCAAAAGATCTTGTACCACTTAAGATGCTTTTCAAATTTTTTTTAATATTGCGCATACGAAGTCTTGGACAAAACAGAGTCTTCCATAAAATATGCTTTTATTGATTTATGTAATTTGCAGGTGGCGCCACACATAGAGATAGGTCTGGACCAGGAGCTGTCGATGCCGCAGGACAGCTTCCAGCTGAAGTACTTCCAGCATCTCAACAAATATCTGAACATCGGCCCTCCAGTGTACTTCGTGCTGATGGACGGCCTTGACTTCTCGCGCAAAGACGCTCAGAACATGGTCTGCGGCACACGCTTCTGTAACTCCGATAGTCTTTCTATGCAATTGTATAGCGGTGAGTTACATTTTCATGCTTAACTTAATACTGTTAAAGTTTAAAATTGAATAAAATGATATATAAACACGTTAAACGCCATAGTAGAAATAGAAAAAATAACTAAAAATCTATTTGCTGGAAATAGATGCGTAATGTCGAATCTTCAAAATATCTGGTTTAGGGTTCAATCGGAAGTTAGGTTCTGCAGATATAAAAAAAACCTTGAGGTCACAGGTGTCCTACGCGGCGCTTAAATGCAGACTGGGGTCCGTTCACCGGTCACCTGAATGGCGTTTAACTTGTTAAGAGTATATGTTGATTAAATTGACAATATTACGTTATTTATGCACTGTTGTGTATTTCCAGCATACCTGTCGTCGAATGAGACATACCTGGCGCAGGCGCCCAACTCCTGGCTGGACGACTTCTTCGACTGGTCCGCCTCGCCCGAATGCTGCCGCTACTTCCCCGGCAACTCCAGCTTCTGTCCCAATACTAATCCCAGTACGTGTACATTTCTCATCATACCTTTACTCCGGGATACTATTATGACTTGACATTTTCTTTAAAATTTATACAGTCGCTAAATGGCGTTTTAAGTTTCATTGTATTTTTTTTATATATTATAAGAAGAAAACAAGCGAGCGGCCACCAGAAATCGCTGAAATAGCGAAGCGACCGTTGCCCATTCTTCTTCTTCTTTGTCGTTGCAGTCTTGTCAGACTGGTCGTGGTGCCCATAGACATACGCAATTACATATGCGTTGCCTACCTTTAATCCACGGAGGAGAGGATGCACAGAAATAAAATCAATCATAATTTCTAGTAATAAATCAGCTTGCGATAAAAAGGATATCATATTTAAGCTAAAATGGAAATAATATACTGGCTAAATTTGATTATGATTCTTATTTCATCATCATCAGCTCGTTATACGTCCCCACCGAGGGGTTCGGAGCCTATCCTAAGTTGAGGGTGATTAGGCTATAGTCAACCACGCTGGCCAAGTGCTGGTTGGTTGACTTTACATATATCATTGAATTTTTTCTCAGATATGTGCAGCATCACGATGTTTTCCTTCATCGTAAGAACGTCGGATAAATGTACATATGTAAATCGGAAACCGAAAAACACATTGTTACATGGCGGGATTCGAACGCAGGATCTGTAGATTGCAATTCAAATGCTTGACCACTGAGCTACCGACGTTCGATCTTATTTATATCTTAATAATTAATGTTTCTTAATGTCTCATTTTGCAGAATGTAAAAGATGCAACATACCACTTGAAGATCCCGAAAAGCGACCAAACCCGACAGACTTTGAACATTACGTGTCATTCTTCTTACAAGACAACCCGACATCTTCATGTCCTAAAGCAGGACATGCGGCTTATTCACAAGCAGTCAATTTCAAGAATAAAACTACAATCGGAGCAACATTCTATCAAGGATATCATACAGTATTGAAAACAAGTTATGATTATTACTCGGCGTTACGTGCCGCTAGAACTGTGGCTGCTAATTTAACAGAGACCATGAACAGACATTTGAAGTCTATGAATGAAACTAAAACTGTGAATGTGTTCCCGTACTCGGTGTTCTATGTGTTCTATGAACAGTATCTGACCATGTGGCCCGATACATTGAAGAGTATGGGCATTTCTGTACTTTCCATATTCATTGTTACCTTCATATTGATGGGCTTCGATTTGTTCTCGGCACTGGTGAGTTATTACTATATTTATATCTTTATATATATATATAATTCTTCTGTGAGTGTGTATGTCACTGAACTTCTCTCAAACGACTGGACCGATTTTGATGAAATTTTTTGTGTGTGTTCAAGGGGATCTGGGAATGGTTTAGACTCACAATTTTGTCCGCTGGACAATGTTTTTAATTAATTTTTAATTTATTAGTAGTTGTTGATTTTGGAATGTTTTACATTGGATCCGACAGACGGCGCTACCATCGCAGTGTCAAATTGTCAGACAACGTCTGTCGGGTCCGCTAGTATATATATATATGATTCCTATGTAGACTGTTGTAAGTCACAATTTTGCGATTTAACTGACTCTGTCAGACTGACATAGTCTGCGCGGTTTAAAAAAAATCTTAGTAAGTAGCTTATGTGTTCTTCCAGACTATGTTCTACATCTGTGTCAAATTTCGGAAAGATCCATTGAATCGTTCTGGAGATACCTTCTAACAAAAATAAATCTATATAACCAAAGTTTCGCTATTATATTAGTAAAATTCATATTTAGTACGTCGTGTTGAATGTTCGTTTTATACATATGATAGTTTACGTAGGAGACATCGATAACATTACTCTGATATTATTAATAGTTAAAATATATTTTCTTGCTTCTTTAGTAAAGTCACAACTGAGCAATGTTATTTTGTTAGTAAAATTCTTAATTTTCAGTATTATGATGAAATATTTATTGTCCAGGTTGTGGTGATAACAATCACAATGATAGTGGTGAACATCGGCGGTCTGATGTACTGGTGGGGCATCAGCCTCAATGCTGTCTCACTTGTCAACTTGGTGAGTCATATAACATTACTAGAAATATACACATCTAACCTAACCTTCATATAAAAAAACAAACAAAGAAACAACAAAAAACCAGAATGACTAAACAAGCGAGCGGATACTGTCTATAGCCAGAGAAGGGAAAGCATAGAATGAAATGTCCCCTTCCTAAACATACTTTCCTCTGTTTAATTCACATTCCTCATCTCATTCTTTATAAGAAAAGAGTGGGAAGGGAAAGGAGACTGAAGCGTGGAGTCCGGCACGTGCAGTAATCAGAGTGGGGTTGTACATGTAGTTGTGTGTCAGGTGATGGCGGTGGGCATAGCGGTGGAGTTCTGCTCGCATCTGGTGCACAGCTTCAGCGTGTCAGCCGGCGCGTCGCGCGAGGAGCGAGCCGCCGCCGCCCTCACACGCATGGGCTCCTCCGTCCTCTCCGGCATCACGCTCACCAAGTTCGGCGGCATCATCGTCCTCGCCACCGCCAAGAGTCAGATCTTCCAGGTACATTCACACGTTGCACTGCATCTCGTATCCGACTCGAAGGATCATTGTTTAACAATTCCTTATTCTCCTTGGGAGAGGGAGATTAGGAAGATAAGTAATCGACACACTACAAGTATTGCTCTTTGTTCGACTCGAAGGACCAATTTTAATGTTTTTAAAATTTTTATTAAAAATACATCGATTTCATAACAACCCCATCGTAGTTTGCAATGACCTTGTTGTAGTTTCTAATCTTAATGGGTAGTTGTTAGAAATTCATGGAATGACCATCTTCTATGTCTATATATATCCATAAAATTAATTTAATTGGAATGTCTGTATGTAATGTAAAGGCATTTTTTTTTTTAATTTTTTATCTTTATATTTGAAACGGTTAGACCAATTTTGACGGGACTTTTATTAAAAGTGTCTGCAGGAGTAATAGGCATTTTCGATTTCTGCGCAGACGAAGTGACGGGCGACCGCTAGTTGTACTATAAATGTAATTGTATTTATTATTGTGTAGGTGTTCTACTTCCGAATGTACCTCGGCATTGTGCTGTTCGGCGCCGCGCACGGCCTCATCTTCCTGCCCGTCATGCTCAGCTATATCGGTGAGTTGCCTCACACCTCACACCTCATGCACCTCACGAACCTCACACATCTCACGTCGACAATCCATAGAATGTATAAGTACAAGGTAGAAGCGAAATGTACCCATATCTAAGTGAAATGTAATGTCTATATGAGCTATCTATCCCACACCTCAAGACCTCACAGACCTCACACACCTCACATCGACAATCGATAAACTGTAGTATAAGTACAAAGTAAAAGCGCAACGTGCTATTATATAAATGAAATGTAACTAAAAGTGCTATCTATCGCACACCTCACGCACCTCACAGACCTCACACACCTCACATGCTAGACGTACAGAGCTATTTATTTATAGCTTGGGGTACATTTCGAGTGCACTGCAATTTTACACTAGAACATATGTGTTTTGCAGTGTTTTGACCAGATGTAACCCATGATAATAAAAATTAATGTAAAACACGTTAAGTGAATAGTTGTCTTGAATTTTTTCTTTTTCTTCTACTTAAAAAAAAACAATAGAACTATCTTTTTTTTTTAAATATAGGAACGCTTTCTTCAGATATATAATTTTATCGTAATTTTTAAACTACACTTATTTTGTTAAATATTATATGCATGATTTTTATTTCTTATATTGTTTTGACTTTTTTTTATTTTGTTGCCTTTTTTTTGTTTTTTTTTCGCTTGTATGTTGGACCTTTGAAGCAGAATTAGTATTATAAATTATATTTATTTTGTATAATTCTACAACTGTTTTTAATGTTGCGAGAAAAATAAACTTTTTTTTTAAATTGGCGTATTAGAAACAGTTCTTTTTTTGTTATTTTTTGCGGTGAAATAACAACTTATAGTCTAAATTTACTAACAAATTGTGGTTGTGGTAAGTCTTTTAATTTTTGGCAATGTTTTTAGCTAAATTAACTTTATATTTGCTTTTTATATGTCTTAGATCTAACCTGATGTATATTAACAAAAGTTCAAAATTTAATGTACTGCTTACAACGTAAGAGATGCTTTGAAATAGTGGTTACCGATTTTTTTAAATAACCTTTAATGAACTCTTAAATCTACGTTTTTTAATTGTATTATGGAAATTGATAAATAAAGTAATTTGAAATTGTATGATACGATTTGAAATTTACGAAGTTCATATCAAAATTTAACATTTTTTAACAAAATTACAGTCTTGTGCTGAAATAAACTATAGCAACCTTATAAATTTAATAGTCTTAAATGAATTATTGCAAAATAAGACAAAAAAGTAAAAAAAATTGGCATTTTTTTTTTTTATATTCATAGTAGTTTGGCAACCGCTGTTTGCTTTGCACGTGATTAACATTGTACGTGTACGGCAGGCAGGTAACGTAATGCCTTTTCCAGGGTCTCCGATCAACAAACAGAAGCTGGCGAAGCAGCTGCTGCGCGGCAAGGAGCTGGGCGTCGCGGAGACATCCCTCACGCGAGTAAGCGGCGAGACATACACGCAGTATCACTTTGACTGCTAGCTTACAGCGGACGAGAATCGTCTTTGTTACTATACATATAGGATTCATTATTGTGTACCACCATCCGAAGTAACACACGCCTCTTTCTAAGTGAGGGCGAGTAGATTTTTTATAATCTACACTAAGGGGACTTAATCTGAGTGCGGCAGTGTTTTGTAATTTTATATTTTGATATTTAACACGTTCCATGCTACATTTTTTCAAATGAAAACTTCCAATGCGAGTCGGCAGTGAACGTGTTTGGGTTACATTGATTATTTTTAAACATATCTACGTAGTAAAAAATTTTTGGTCAATATAATGTTGCGTGTTAATACATTTTGTATGTAGTTTTGGTAGATTTTTTAATTTTTTTTTGACTTTGGATGGTTGCACACATTTTTTTGAACATTGTCTACTCTCGTATCGCTTACTAACGGTTTCGGGCTATTTGTAAAGTTATAAGGTGGTTTGCTATTAAACAAAAAAAATATTTTTTGTTCTATGTACACTGCCTTAATTGTTCGAAACTTTAAAAGTTTCCATCTCAATTGATATGGTGAAATGCATTTATTTATTGTTAATGGGTTTAGAAATTTGTCATTTTGTGTGGCAAAAAAAAAAATGTTACAAATTTCTTATCCAAGGGTCTGGTTGACCATTGAATGGTGTAAGGAATATGATTATTTCCTTTTAATATTTCATTTGCATGTATGTTAGATGTATTTACAGTAGCCATTCCTTTTTTTTTTAATGGAATTTTATTTTTGCTGTCGGCTTTGGGCGCAACCGCCTTTTTATTGCACATTTATTTCACAATAACACAGATTACTTAATTTTTAGCACTTAAATCATTGTATATGGCAACACCAAAAAAAAAATTTTTTTTAATTTTTTTTTCATAATTTTTTCCTCTTGCTGTTGATTTTTGAAGTGAGCGCGCAAAATACGAAAAAAACGTGTTTTTTGTGAGTATTTATTAAATTAATGTCAATAATTTTTGTCATTAAATTTTGAATATTATGTTTAAATGTTAGTATAATATATTTTCGAATAACTATTTTTTTTTTAGGAAAATGCGTGCAAATTAGTTTCGAATACATTTTGATTGAATGTTTGGAATGAATGTTGTATTTATATATTGAATATTTCCCTTCCTTTTAAATGTAATTGTTGTGACGAAATTATTTATGAAATTACCTTTTTAATTACCAATAATATAAAATATATTTTTTTTAAATGTTTTTAATAATAAAATATTCACAGCCTTAATATTTATTTGCTATAAACAGCTTTCTTTTTGTTTTTACACTTATTGACACGAAACAATAAGACAAGAATAATTTTCGAATTTAGTTATAAAATATTTTTTTTATGATTTTGTAGCAATCGTATGTTCAAAAAAATATATATCAAAGAAATAATTTCTTGTTTAGTTTTTGTGTCAATTAAAAAAAGACGCCTCGAAACTAAGACTGCTTTAAATTTTTTCTTAAATAGATTTCAAAGATTATTTATGTTGGTAGTACTTTTATTATTTTGATTATAATCAAGCCTATGAATATCAAAGAAAGTTTTTCCATCAAATTATTCAAACTTTCGTGAGACATTATACTAAACTGATATATAAACCCGGCTAAACACTCACGTATATAGGTCCGGTGGCGGCACCGACTAGTTTCGAGCACATCGGGGGCCTTTCATCAGGATGAGTGGTACTGGTATTATGTCGCGCTTAGTGAGCTGAGGGCCGCGTCCGTGAAATAATACCAATGCCACACATTCTGATGAACGGCCCCCGATGTGCTCGAAACTAGTCTGTGCCGCCACCGGACGTATATACGTGACTGTTTAGCCGTGTTTATATTTATTCCATCGTTATACAGATTATATAAAAAGCATATAATTTTTATTTTTTTTGAGATTATATAGATAAAATTAGTAATTTATTTTTATCTCGAATAATTTCAATATGATAAATATGTCTTTAATGAATATAAAAAAGACATAATATTTTCGATATATCGAAATTAATTTGCAATGTGATAAATTAATTATTGCTAAATTCATTTTTTTTAGACAAATTTCAGTATTATTTTTTTTATTTCGAGCATTCTAAGTCGCGATGGCGGATGGGCTGTATCTAGATGTCGCACATGTTTTAATTTATTTATTTTCTAACTAACAATGGGATATCTTCCAGTATAACTAAATTGTGGTGTTGGTAACACTGACTCTATGTCTATCTCTTTCTCCCATTCTGTTGATTTTGTAAAACAATTGAGTTGTGTATTACAGGTACACCTGTAAAGGCCATGGGATTAAATAAAGGAACAAATTATTTATTGTAGGGGTAATATTCGGTTTCTTTTAGTTTAATTCTTAGGGGGCATTGTGCTGCAAGCCTCCCCATGTTCCTAGTGATTTTAGGAGTTTTTTTATAATAGAGATTTATGTATTTAATATGGTTTTTCAACACCAAGGAATCTCCATTACTTAAAGTTAGTACTTACTCTGTGGGATCTTATCCAAAGTGGTATATTTGTAATAGCTTATGGCGTATTTGTAATAGAAATAAAATATTTTTCTTTCGACCAATTATTTTTGTTTTATTTTTAGTTTTAGCAACTGCATGGCATTATTTGTTGGCAGTTTGCATGCCTGCCATAAAAACCGCCATTTTTAATTAGCACTCGCTGTTTGACAGTTGTTTTTTTTATTCTTAAGTACAAAGGTCCAATGTACGTAATGCCAATTGCGGTTTGATAGTAAATAAGTTTTTACTAAATTTGTATTTTCTTCTTCTCTTTGGATCATAAAGGAGCTTCTGTGCGCAAGTCAAAACAACGTAAGAAATATTATTTATTTAAAACAAACAGCATTTGTAAGGCAGAATACAATTATTAGAATATCATTTTAAAAGCTTTGCAAATATTATAAAATCACATGATAGCAATACATATAGCCATTTTATGACCATTTTTCCTGTTTTAATAAACTCCACTGATCACAATTCTGTAAAAATTGTAATTTTGGAAATAATTAGACCGTTGATTTTAATTTCTGCGATATTTTCACTAAAGGACTTAGGTATGATAAAACTGGCACAGTAATTATTTTTAGTCATAAAGAAAAATAACCAAACTCAAGCGTAAACTTATTTGTAAAATAATTAGCTTCCCGGAGAAGTTATCACTTTAAAGTCATCAAAATCACTTATTTAGCTGAAAAAAACTTAATTTCAAAGGTATGTATTTTAATTTTAAGAAAAAAAAACTAAATAATCACGAGTAAAAATGCTTTTTAATCTGCATTATAAGACGTAATTATAAATTAGAAAAATTGAACATGACTAACCGTTCTTGAGAATAAAATCTCTAAAACATATCGTCATCCCTGTCATTATCTTTGACAAAACAGAGATAACAATATGTTTTAAACGGGTATTTTGATCTTAGTACCCTACGGTAAAAAAGGTAACACATCATGGCACATAAATAAGAAAATGTCAACAATGGGAACCAATGTCAAAGTGACTTGAAAATGACTAGTCAAAACTAACGGTAAAAAAAAATATATTTTAACCCAACACTACAGCAACACACAATTTCTAGAGTGGACACAATCGTTATTACGGACATTGTGAATAAAAACCATAGCCTTATCTCATAACCACTTAGTTTTATGACGCATTTGAACTAACAGAATAATTCTATCGACTGTCTGAATGTTTCAAAATCGATTCTCTATTTAAAACTAAAAAAAAAAATAGTACACCACTGGCTACGGAATCCCATGACTCAAGTAATCAGTGGTCAGTAAGACAGGAACCTACTCACAATGTGGTTTTTTAAATAACCGACTTTTTTTATCGAAAACTTAATGCAATTGTATAGCGTAAGCTTCTCAAAATGTTGGTCGAAGCTTTTATTGGTCCATTTACAATAGAGTTGTTATTATAATAGACTAAATTTATCATTTTATAATTTGACAGTTCTTATACGTCATATGTGGTTGAGAATTCAGAGAGGTAGGAGCAGTATGGTTAACATTTGGCAAATGTTTTGTGTTGCCAACCTAAAAATAATAAATTTTAGCTACAATTATTTGTCCAAAATACATTTTGGAACGATTGTTACATCTAACTGTGGGTTTCTAAGACCTAAATCTCTGTTTAAAGCGAATTATTATCTCTGTTTTATCAAAGATAATGACAGGGATAACGATATGTTTTATATGAAGATTTTTAACTCAGAAATCCACGGTTAATTTAATAAACAATACATAATGATTTGAATATGTGTTCGTTATGTAGTTTTGATTCCCATATTAACATATGTGTAGATAAAAATATATTGCACTGCGCACGCGCATACAAATGCTAAAGCCAGTGATATCGATTATTTCCTGAAAGTGATATACAAACATGTTAATGATAGTACAAGGTAACACTTATAGATAACGATAATATTTATTACTTCACTGTAAAATACTTATATATATCATTTTATCTTAGTAAAATACCTGTTTAAGTAAATAGGACTAGCATTAATAATACCTATTTTAGAACAAACACAGTAATACAGTTTATATTATTTTGACTAGTTGAAAAAAAAGTTTAGTCTGCTTTTGTTTTTAAATTTAGATGCATTGTAACATTGCTTTCGTAGTTTTCATTGCTTCGTATGTTGCATGCGTAAATCGAATTTGAACTATTTATGTTTATAAAATAATAACATAGTCTGTAGTAAATTGTATTTTAAAATTGCTACAAAAGTATATTACACGCCATATAAGAGATACAAGATGCACGATGCCCTGGTCTCTACGGGAACGCCGGTGGGGGTGTGAGATGGCGGGAAATAAACGTGAAATAACACGAATGAAAGATGAAATATAGCAGCAGAAGGTTCACCGAAAGTAGTAAAATTTCGAAATGCGTCTGCGTTATAAGAATCTCCCTAATCGTGTAGTTGAGGGTCGTAGTATGAATTATGTTATTGCTATACGTACGTTGGTTGTTCGTAGGCATAACCCGTCGTCGGGGACGCTGGCGGGTGTCAGGACGCGGCCGCGCCTACGGCAGTCTAGACAACCAGCCGGAGCCCCACGCCTCCAGCTCGGAGCCCCTCACCAACGAGATGTAATGCCATCTATCGTAAGCCCGAACGACGCGATTCGCAACCACATTGTCGAAACAAGAAACGAGTAGCACATCTTGATACTTGCAAAGGAGTTTGTCAAATGTGAACACTCCATTTATCTTTGTAATTGTTAATGATAAATATATATAAATTCGATTATTAAAACTAGCATTAAAATGCTTTTAATGACGTATATTGGATATAAAATTATTTATAATGTTGTAAATTAAAATTTAACGTAATAAGTTGTACTTTAAGGACAACGAAATTATACGAGTAACTTAACTATGGAACACGAATAAAAGTTACGAAAAAATAGCTTTGTTATACCTAAGGTACGTTATTTAAATGACTAAGAAATTAAATTGTATTAATATATTGAGGTGACAAAATGATTGCGAATCGCGACATCTAGTGAACACAGAGGAAACTAAATACAAGTGGACAATGTGATATTGGCAGCAACGCAGTGGACTGTTACTGTGTAGTGTAGTTTATCGTAGTAACTAATCTGTTCATCCCAATTCAAACATATAACGTTAAAGCTTAAGAAAAAAAAACTGGTTTTAATCTTTTGTCAGCAAAAAAACAGTTAAATAAGTTTTTGTCTTCCGTATTTTTTATTAGACCAAAGACACTATTATTTATAGTCTTTGATAATTATTTTATAATATTTTTATGATATTACTAGATGCTATTTTTAAACTGTCTCGAACTAGTTGCATTATTATATTAACCTGATTTAATTTAATGGAATTATTTTTAATCAGGTAAATTAAATTAATACCTTAATAAAATAATATGATTTATTAAATTTAAAAAGTATCAAACATCATCAATCGAATTACAAAATTGCCCCATTTAAATGTCAATGACTTGGCTGTGGGCTGACTTTTTTATTTGTATAGAATATTAGCAACAAAATTTAAATGTATTGTTATTCATATGAACCTAAGAGTTTATTAATTAAATTACTTAAATTATTTGTGATAAATATATAACAGAAAAAGAAATATCGTGATTTCGATATTATGTAATGCAGCGAGGTGAGATAAAAATACCAAATCAGTTTTTTAATCTTGAAATATATTTTGTAGAAATTTGTTGGTATCGTATGTTACTTTCCACATGTTTTTTTTTATTTTTTTAATACAAAATTGATGGCAAACGCTTCATTGTTAGAGCTGTATAGATTATTTTTTTAAAAAAGAAAAATACTTTGTTATTTTTTTTAATAAGGAAAAAGTTTTAATTTCCTTTCAGATAATATTTTTATGTTAAATTATTTATCTTGTCTCGCTGGAAATATTAGTACGCTGTGAATTTAAAAATAAATAATTTCTAGTATAAATCATTGTAGGAACTGTAATTGTATATTTGAGGCTTGTAGAAAAATTTTAAGAATACTATTATAATAGAGATGTACTTTCGCTTTTGTGTTTTTTTTTAGATTTTTCATTGTCTATGGTAGTTTTTTATTGGACATTGTTTTTACATAAATGGTACTACAATATTCGACTTCAAGTGGACCAATTTTTTTTCTTCTATACTTTTAACATCTTTATGAAATGTTAACCATTAACTGTGGGTTGCTGAGACAAAAAATCTCTGTATAAAACATATCATTCCTGTCTTTCATTTTTGACAAAATATGTTTCAAATGGGGATTTTCGTCTCAGAAACCCAAGGTTTGTGATTTAAAAGGTTATGCTTTGTAGTGAAGAATTTATCGATGTTAAATAACAAGGTTATGAAAAAATGGCTTATTTTGCTTTTTTTAAATAAATTTCAATATTTGAAGATTTCTTTGTTACCGAAAAAATGTATGTATGTAAAAGAATCTTGTAAACAAGATAACTTAGGTGAAAACAGTAAAATGTTTAGAAATTTTATATGATTAACCTGATTATATCGTTTGTTATTTTAGGCACGGCCTTTTAAATGTCAATTTATGCTAATCACGAAAAAAAAATTGGTAGAATTGTGTAGATTTTTTTCTAGATTTTTTTTAACGTAGCTTTTCATATTAAAAACTATATAATTGTAGTAACAAGTATTCAGTTTTGAGTTTTTACTTGGAATATATTAACATATTTTTGAAAAACAAAACATGTTTGGTACAAGTTGCACATTTAGTTATGTTTGATGACATTTTGAATTTCGCGGTTATAGTTTCTACATTTTGAATAGGAAAATACACCGTTTCATATACGTTATTTGCACCGGTGAGAGAATATATAAAACCTATTTTAACATAGAATGACATAAAAGAAAAAAAAAGACTACAAAACGAACTTGATCTTGTGACATTTGACGTTGACAGAGGGGCGCTAGTATGCTGTCACAATTTAATTTGACTTATGCCTTCTGGTTCAGTTGTCTTTATCGATCTATAGATATTGTTGTCTCTGTTGTTCTCAAAGGATATGAAAGGGATAACAATTGTCACGTCATTGGAGTTCTACAGTTAGCGTAATTACACGTGCAAATGTACCAAACTAAACTTTTAAATATTAGCTTTGTACGATTTGGCAAACTTTTCTATGCATTTAATGTCTGACTACACTTTAAACAAGAACTATTTTTAGATAATGTACTGTATATTAACCACGTTTTGTATTAAATGTTTAATTATGTAGAGGGAATAACGTAGTATACTGTAAAAGAAATTTAAGTATAAATATAGCATAACTATTATATCAGTAACATGATCTTTGAAGGCGGCCATCTTGAAACTGTCAAACTTAAACGACGAATTCAAGTGAAGTGAATCCAAAGTAACGAACATTTTCCAAATAAGATATGGTCTATGTTACCAGGCCATAAAATTAAAAAAAAAAGAAAATGTCAAAGAATATTTAATCAAATATAGTTTCCGGTTAAATATGTTACGGTTTTAAATTACAATCAATCGTAACCATTGTTCACTTTAACTAAATATCTGTCAATCCTGTAACCGTACATATAAGTTTATATACCTACTAACCACTTTGACGTTTTATATTAAATAGTAATTTGTATATTTGCTATTTACTCTGTATATAAAGTGTTTATAGTAATTTCAATAAATTCTGTGTAATTGTGTTTTAAATAAATAAATAAAATGATATATTGTGTGTTTAAATAAATGAACGTAACAAGAATTTTACAACAAATATAATTCCAACGTACAGAAAATAATTTTAATTTATAACAGATATATTATCGTAATTTTAAATCTGTACCACAGATTAAATATCGATAATCAAAGAATACATTCTTACAGACTATATTTAAGTCTTAATGACATTTGCACATTACGATAAATGACATTTAAAGGTTGTGATTGACAATAAAAAAATGTTACAACCAAGAGGGACATCAGGAAAGGTCTTTATTACACTAAATACTGGATTTCGTAAAAGAAATGATTGCTTAACCGAAAATTCTGTCGCACCAAAGATTTATAGATTAAATAAGTAGACTCCGAAGAAAGTTTTATCACCGCATTCACACACGGATATAGTTGGCTATAGATCAAGAGGTCCGAACAAATGCTTCGCCGGACAATCCTCACTCTGATCGCCAAGGAACTGGGCAAATAATTCCTGATACCGCGACAGGGTAATTCCTCCTCTTCTACGGTCGTCATCCTGAAACATGGTAGTATAGTTTTAACCAATCTTTAACTGCCCACCTTTGATTTGCACCTACAGTGGTCCCGCCTGGCAACCACCTGTATACAATGATGTTAATTTAAATATTATATAAGAAGCTCCTAATATATGTGATTAGATACAAAACATTGTGTATAAAAATATTATGATATGTTGAATGTTGGATGAAAATAGAGCGGGCGTGTTCCCCAGCACACACGTCCAGCGTAGCTTGATCCGCGCACCAGTTGGCGGCTTGCCAAGGGAAAGCTCTTATAACAAGATCATTCATCTTGTTGCATAATTTCGACTACGCTATTCGCAATGATGAGAAATACCTTTATATCTTAGCTATTTCTGAAAATTCTTATTTTAAAACAAAACAAATCTTTAAAATTGTAGCAATAACAGTAGCAAAATGGTTCTTCGAACATAATTTTGTCATTCAAAACTAATCAAATTGATTTAGCAACAAGATATTAATAGTCAAACTTCTGGTTGTCTAGACGCAATATAAACTGGCTCAGATTTTAATTGAAAACGATCATTACACGGTCTAATTACCGTGACATAAATCTATCTGATATTTTGCCAAAATTAATCATCAAAATTGCAGAAACTATACGCTTATTTACGTTTTGCTTCATGAAGAATTTCTTCCAGTAATTCATAATTACAAGCGATGGAGTGGCAGGAGAAGGCGCAAGACAGGCGACTTTGGCGATCTCTTGTGTCGGAGGCCAAGACCCACTTTAGGTCGATGCGCCAGCGGAGATAGATAGAATTCATTAGTAAATAAATAAAATGCAGCTTTATATCAATATTAATTTAAAAATAGCAACAAACAAACAAAACTTCCAACATCACAGGGAATAAGTATTTCATTAATTTTAGATTTTTACATTGAAATTAATATATTTTTTTTTATATCATAAGGTGTCAAACGAGCGAGCGGCCACCTGAAATCACTGAAGTAGCGTAGTGACCGTTACCCATAGACATACGCAATTGTATATGCGTTGCCTACCTTTAATCGACGGAGGAGAGGATGCACAGAAATAAAAAAAAAATATTTTCCCTTTCCATGCATCGTCTCATCCGGAAAGTACACTTCCACTTCCCACCCTTTCCTTATGAGAAAAGGGTGGGAAGGGAAAGAGGACTAAATTAGGCCTCCGGAACGCACACTCTTCAGACGAAACGCGGAATAGCTTCCACTTCACGCCTGTTTTCTGTGTGGTCGTGGTATTTTACCGGGCGAACCTGGCCAATTCGTGCGAAGATGTTAAAGCGGGTTGTACCACTCTTAAATAATATGATTGAAATTGAAATATGATTTTAATACTTAACTATTAGACATATTTCAGGCTACCATCTTATATTCACTCCATTAATTACTCTATCACTATAAATAAACATAATAATCGTTATTAATAAAATAATAACTTACATTTAATAAGGAATAGAACGCTTCATCAATTATCTTTATATCTTCAAGCACCATCCTCTGTACACAATCGTATCTGTATTCTTCTAAAGCCAAAACACCGTCACTGTTCAAATCTATCATTCTGAAATTGGATTCTATAAACGCCTTCATAGCCTGTGGGAAGTCTTCATACTTTCTGCCTACACAACAGTTCATAACTGCCTGTTTGAACTCGTCCACTGTTATTATACCATCCTAGAAAAAATAAACTGTCAAACAAAGATGGCGGACGAGATGACATTTCAAGCAAAAGCGTGCGCGTTGGCTGCAGCGTGTTTTTAAAGCGCTAAAACTAAAAGCAACTACTAAATTATTGTTTAATAAATAAAACATGCAGCATTTTTTTTTAATTTGTAAAATATAAAATATTCTTTATTGGAGAGTGTATTATCTTGTCGTGGGTATTTTGTGTGTGTGCGTGTTTTGACTAAGGAATAATGTGTTGCTATATACCCACCATCTACATGCATCTAGCGTACACCAACAATGCATCTACGAGTACATTCACGTTTGCAGGCCTATCTACGTAAGGGATACAAGCTAGCCAGTTAATAATTGGCTTGACTCAAAAAACTTTACCAAAGACAATTTCTACCAAGAGTTACGTCCTTCGTAACTAACCATACAAACCAACAGGTCTACGAATAGCTATTCTTTGATATAAATCTAATAAAAATCTTGTATCCCCTTTCATGCGTTGCGTTGCGTACACTGCAGTAGAGTATGTGGGATGTGATAACCGACATAGTCTGGCACCTTGTCGAAGTCCGCAAGCTGCGCGATCTCTTCCCAAAGGCTGAGCATAATGTGCCGGTAACGCTGAAGCCGTGCGCCGCTGCATTCCCCGCGCCCCTCCAGAACACACGACCTCAACGCCAGACAGTGAAAGTCGTGTGCATCCAAATATCCGTTGCAGTCGATATCTGGAACACACCATCATCATCATCTATATGTCCTTGTTCCACTTACGTAAGGTCGCACCAAGTTTCCATCCTTCAAATCAAACTATCCCCCGACATCGCCCTATTTATCTTATCACCATCCACTGTTGACTACAAAATGAAACATTCTGCCAAAGAGTGGCATAATGGCCAAGGAACCTTTGTCTTTTTAATTATATAAAAAGAGAGATGTAAAATAAAGAAAAGCGCGGGAAACATGAACAAAGAGATGTAGTACATAATAGTGCTTGATGGAATTATTAATGTAAATAGTTTTAGTATAGGAGATTATAATAACGAAGAAACGCATTATGGTTGCCGTACTGCTGTTTTCTGCTTACCACACGCAAGAAGAATCAATACTTAGGTTGTACTAACAAATGTCAATATCAGTCAACAGCATAGGTCAAGTACATTCTATATCTGGCATCTCGGTAATAGCATTGTAACCTCAACGTGATTTGGCCGCGGAGCGTGAACAATACACAATGATAGCTCATTATCCCTATGCCAAAATATAAATTACTAATTGACGCCCGTAACTCCGTCTACGCGCTATTTAAAAAAAAACTTTGTAGTCTATGGGTTCTTCCAGACTATGTTCGACAACTACAAATTCAGCAAGATCCATGCATTCGTTTTGGTGATACCTTACAACAAATATTCATCCATACACACAACAGTATTTATAATGTTAAGATAAAGCTAAGGCAAGATTTATGAGTGTGGAAGTGGCGTCCGTATTCTCTGCTTACTTTGAATTTGGACAGAAGATTAGTGCCCATCAATAGCTTTAAAATTAACCACTTAAATAAACTATATTACTAATATAAAAGCGAAATCTTTAATACTTTTAAAATGTTTTCAAAAGCTTATTCTATGGCATGACGGTTAAAATACGTTTAACATGATTCCACGTCGGAAAATAAATAGTAAGCGTGGAATTTTGTTGAAATACATAAATCCATCCCACGTTTTAATAGCACGTGTAATCAAATGATCAGTGAATTTAATATATTTATAGTTGACGTGGGTTTGTTGAGTTAATAAAATGCAGATGAATTATCAGATATGTGGATACTGCAACGCTGACGCAACAGACAAACGCATCATTCTTAAATTTATTTCGAGAGCAAATATTTAACATCTGTACGTTTTATTGCCAGCCAAATAATCATTTGCTTGTTTGTACCCTTTGAAGTCCTGATAAAACGGAAAAAATGGTAGTGTACATTTTTGAACTGTGTATCAACCTCAGAATGTTGCCAATTGAAATAAAATCAACATTAATAAGTCATTGGCCATTACCTGGCACGAGTACCAGTGTAATAAACACCATACATACTTTTTGGGGGAACAGAATTGAATACCCGTAGGTTTTCCAAAAGATTTTGTTAATTAAAATACGAAAATGAATTTACGATGTGATAAAAAACATTTCGTAGATATACAAATTTAATTTAAACAGCTAACTATCGAAAGACTGACGAAAAAGACACGAAAACTTTGTGTTTGTGCCTCATATCTAGATGTCGCAGATTCCATTCCTAGGAAGGCTGTTTAAATTTTTAGTATATCCAAAAATATATTTATACACGTTTAATAAATACACCTTTATTTGTCTATTTAGAGCGAGGTTTACGCGAATTATTTTCGATACAATTTCGTATATAAAAAACAAATTTTAGAAATAATCAGGAGTATATTTGAATAAGCGAGAAACACATATTAAAATACTCACCATATAAATATCTAACAACAAAAGCAACACGGTTATCCCACGAAGAAGCCATTCTGATTATTAATTTACCACCAATAAGTTTGTGTCAATAATTAGTTATTTAAAATAGGTATCTGTCGACTGACCGGCGAAACGCGCCGATGTTTGCGCGGCAACTGCTCGATAAAGAGCGGAAGTATATCGATATTTATAAACTTTAAAATATCGATAAAATTCGAGATATTCGACTTTGGATTTATTTTAAAATCGACGTTTAAATTGTATTTCTGTCTCAAGTTGCATGTTCAACGGTGCAGAAAACCCAACAAAAGAATTACCAAAGTCTGCTAGATAAGAATGCAATGAACAAATGTTTTTTTGCAATCCTTAGTAATCAATATATATATATATATATAATATAAGAATATATATATATATAATATAAGAAGTATGATGACGCGTGCTGACTGTACCTGTTTTAGCAATTAAGAAGAATACCTTTGTCTGATTATATTTGAAATCGCCAGACGTAATACATTCAATATTTTTTAATTTGATCTATTAAAATATACGATTATCGATATTTTTATATGATATAGCAGTACATCACTAAATCGCCCGCGCCGCTTTGCCATTGCCACGAAATAAGACAATGCGGCGAAGTGAGAGTGAGGCGCATTCGCGAACACACGTAGAACGTAATCTGACGACACCGCGGTTAAATATATCTGCTGTACCAGTATCATCGATTTAGTTTTTGTGTAGGTAAATTAATGTGTGAGACACATAATTTTCGGCATCTCAGAATTGTCCCGGTTATCGTTGTCGAAGGAATTTTCTACAAGGCGAAATTATGTAAAAATGTGAGATCTTGACGCCATTTTCGGTTTTACGAAGATTATCACTCAATAAATCTTAGTGTTTCCTTATGTCTTCAGGTTACGAGCGTGAATTCTTGTTTTTTCATTCAATTTCAATTTCAATAATTTACCAAAATATTAAAAAAGTATATCCGCGTCTTTCCTTGCGAAGGATCACAAATACTTTTTTTTCCGAGTCAAGGATTGCCCCTGTGGTACGCAACTAGCAGATTTATTTGCGAAACTTTGCTATTGCATATTTGCGCTTCTGAAAACATTTCCTATAAAAATGTTTTTTTTTTTTTGTAATAGAAGGGGCAAACGAACAACGAATCGCATATTATACAATGACCATAGCATAATATGTTTTCTTGTAATCTGCGCACACGCGCAAACGCACTCGGAGGCGTTAAATGATCATTACAGGAACCTCTAGGAAAGTTTAGACGTAGGATCTGTTTTAGTTACCATAAAACGAATAAATTAAAACTGTATCTGTATTATTATAGTTACGGAGCTTGTGTCCCTTCGTTCAACTGTAATTTGTCTGTAACATTTGGAAGTCTTTTTGATTTTGCACGTGATTGGCCAAAAAGCTTAGAATCCAGAGCCGTTAAATGATTTTTCAAAAAGTTACTTTCGTCCTTGATAGCTTGACATTGACAGATGATAGTCAACTTGGATTTTTGAATTTTTAAATCAAAAATTATAATTTTAAGTAATTTGTGGTTTGTGAGCACTATTATTAGAAGTTTAATATTTTATATTAAAAAATATGACTCGAAGAAATAGGCTATTGTTTACACTGATACTTGTAATCTGTACGTATTATCATTGATTTATATATATGTTCTGAAATAATAATTATTTTATTTGATTTGAAGTGTTGAAATACACTATTCATTAAATTAAAATGCGCTTACAGAATTGATCAAAGTCCAAACATATATTAAATGGACTTCTAAATTATCTAAATACCTTTAAAACATGTGTTTCACTGCATTGTTTAGTTTCACAAGTGTTCAACATTGTAAAGGAAACATTTTTACTGTTACTATGTACTGTCCACTTATTTTTTATTTTAATTTAAGGTTTGCCAATAATAACCTACCAGTTTGATGTTGAGGAAGAAACAATTGATGAAACAATAGAGATTGAAGAGGAACCAGATATTCCAAATGTTGATGAATCAGAGTCTTTACTCTCAAATGTTGTGTCCGATGTTAACAAAACATTAACAAACCTCTACAACCATGTAACATCAGCAAATGTCACGGCAGAAAACAGAACAAGCATAGCAAATGAGACTCGGAAACTTGTTAAATGCAAAGAGATTGTATATGAAGGGACAGAGGAAATAGAGGTTGAAATTATAAATGGAACACACTTGGCTAAGTTATTGCAAGTAAAACCGGATGTAACTAGTCGTGATACAGAAGCTGATTGTGTTTTAGTGTTGTTTTATGCCAGGGCTTGTCCATTTAGTGCTCATGCTGCTCCGTATTTCAATGCTTTAGCCAGGGCTTATCCTAATATAAAGATGGTGGCTTTGGATGCTTTAAAATATCATGGAATTAATGCACAATATGGCATTGTCGGTGTTCCAACTCTTAAAATGTTCCATAATGGTAGACCGGTTGGTAAATTTAATGGAACAGAATATAACATTCAGTCATTCAGTAAATTTGTCCATGCTATAACTGGACAGTATCCTTTAGAACTCTTGGTGACCTCTAAAGACTTCCAAGGTCCAGTTTCTAGTGTTGTAGAAAAAGATACAGATTATTTCTTAGTGCTGTCTTGGTTGTTCATAATAGTGTGTTCAATATACTACTTTATGCAGTCAAAATGGTGGAACATGATAGTTGAGATGGTTCAGAACAACTGGAGAGAATCTGAGGCTCAACATGAGCATAATGACTAGTCAGACTGACAGTGTGATATGTACTAAAATAAGTTTAAGATTTAATAAATTATGATACATCATAATGTGTTCATTTTATGACCTACTTGCTGTCACCTGCTCGGAATTAAAAGAAAACTTACTTAGTAGACTATGTATTCTTCTAGACTAAGTTCTACATATACACCAAAATTTCAGCAGCAATTATTCAGCCTTTCTTAAGTAACCTACAAACATCCATCCGTCCAAACATTCGCTTTATAATATTAGTGAGATATGTGCAAATTTAATTTTCAACTCTATCAATTAGTATCCTTGGTTACATTGAAATACATTTGCGGTAAATAATGTAAAACTTGGCTGATAATAAATATATATTTTCTATTACATTTACACTTTATACAAGCCAAATATAGTTTTATACATATTAAAGTTCAGCTGGCATCTTAGTCTCATTTAGAGCAGCCAGTATATTTTGAGCTGTTAGTTCACTCATTGTGTTCCTAGCTTCGATTGAAGCACTGCCTATATGAGGTAGGACAATACAATTCTTTAGCTTAAATAATGGACTATCTAGTGGCAGAGGTTCAGGTGTAGTCACATCCAAGCCAGCTGCACGAATAGTATTATTTTGTAAAGCCTCTATCAATGCACCCTGGTCTACAGTCCCACCTCTACTTGTGTTAACGAAAATTGCAGTTTTCTTCATCTTCGCAAATGCTGTTTTATTGAATATTTCCTTAGTTTCAGGTACTAATGCACAGCAACATATGACAAAGTCACTTTGAGCAAGTAATTCATCGAATGTTACTTTCATTGCGCCAACTTCTTTGGCCTCAGGTCTCTCACTACGGTTGAAGTATAAAATTTTAGCTGTATTAAAAGATTTCACTCTTCTAGCAACTGCTTGGCCTATTCTGCCGAATCCAACTATTCCAACAGTGGCGCCAGCAAGTCCAGGTCCTGTCATCCATGTTGGAGCCCAGGACACCCAGCCACCTGTTCTTGCTTCATTTTGTGCTTCTGGTAAACGTCTTGATGTGGATAAGAGGAGTGCCAACTAAAAAAAAATTATAGATTACAATTTATAGCATCCAATATTTTCGGAGATTTTTTGCTTTGTTAGATTTTTGTAGATTTGAAAAATGTATTACTTGAAGTGATTGAATTAAAATTACCGTAAGTTCTGCAGTAGCATCTGTCAAGACATTTGGGGTATAGCCAATCCGGATGCCTCGTTTCTTACATTCCTGCACATCAATATGGTCATGACCCACAGATATTGTGGCCACAACCTTTAGTCCAGGTCCTGCTGCATCTAACAGTTCCTTATCTATCTTGTCAGTAAGTGAACAATAGATTCCGTTTGCACCAGCTACATGTTTCAATAACTCTTGTCTTGGACATGGTGATGCTTGTTCCCAAACTTTTAAGTCACACCTGAAAATTGTAAAATGTAAGTAAATTTTATGATTTTACAATTTCATTGCTGTAACATAATTATTTTAAACATATACAGGAAGCAAACTGAAATAAAATAGTTGTTTTTATGACCAATCTAACAAGTTTGCAATTTTTTGCTTATACTGGACATAACCTTATATTTGTTGAAGAGGAACAAGGAGGTCGCAGATGTGTTTAATATATTCTTGGAAATAATTTAGATGAAGAATGTTGTAAAAACTTACTGTTTCTTGAGTAATTCTATGCCACCTTGTGGCATATCTGAGCGAGTGACGTAAACTTGGTATTTTCCGGAACTACTCATGGTTCTGACGAAGTTCTTCGAAGCACCTCTACTGGTTAAGTACGGCGCAATCGCTGACAACACGCCTTTATACCTCATGAATGGATAGTTTTTATGTATCGATTTTATTACTTTTTTGACAGTTGTCAATTTCCGTACCAAGTCTTGCAAAAGGTCATTCTGATCTATGGCAAGTACTTCGGCGGTGCTTCAATAGATTTTTTTTCACTCGTGTCCCTGAAATATGATGGCTTCGCAACGTAAATGGCAAGATGCAAAGCAAACACAGTGGCGAGGATAATTTTTCCTTTACTCGACTTTAGGAATGACATACGGCCGGACATAATTTTAAGATAACACTTACTACTAAAGGTGAAATGGTTATCAAGTAATATTCATGAATTTTTCGTTAACCTTGAACTTTCATAACACTTCCCGCGTGATGCATGTGTCAAAGCCATTTTGACAGCTGTGAATTGGAGTTTTTAAGAAAAACATAAACAAGAAAGAAGCTTGGACCTTGCAGCCAAAATCTATTAATCTCGATGCATTTTGGCATTTACTTTAATTATTATTATAAATTATGAACATTGTTTGCAATATTAATATTTTCATACGAATCACTAATGCGTTACGTTCTATTATAGTTCTATTATAGTAATAAGGATTGTTACAAAAAGGACTCGCACTGCTACGGCGAAAATGAACATAATTAGATGTATAATATTAGTAAATTAGAGTAATAATTACAATCAACTACAATAAGAGTAACAGTAGTAAAACAACTTAATATATCTTGTTTGCGTAAAATTATGCATCTATTTGCACGTGTGTTTGAACTGATATTTCCAAATATGGCATTAAATCAAATGGATTATTGCGGTGTGCAGAACTAATTAAGTAAACACGCGACCGAATCTTATTATTCCTACAATTGACGTTAATTCGTAGTTACGAATCGCAGTTTTACCGCGCCTGCAATAAACCGGCCGAGTAATTATTTTCGCCACGAAAATTAATTAACAAGATTAGTTTTATGCGAGACTTTCATTCCAAAGTCGAGATATCCCGTCGGCGGCAGTTCTCGTGCGGAATTCATTATATGCGTTGTTACTTTCATCTCGTTATATCTATTTCTCAATACATGTTATACTTTTTAATTATCGTCATGGAAGTAGTAACATTCTTACATTACAGTGGTAACGATTTTTTTTATTATAATTTAATATAATTCCTCTTATGAACTTTGCGTTGATAATTCATAAGTTGTCAGTTCATCTACTAGTCTGATTTCTATTCTAGATACTAGTCAGGACTAAATTTTAAGTCCTCAATTAATTAATAAAACTTATGACCAAGCAATGCGTGAAAGTTCCTTGAACTTACAATATATTGAGTAATATTAATTTCATTTTATTGTATCATTGTTTATATCACCCAAAGGAAGGATATAATTAACCTTTTTTCTGCAATATATATATTTAAATTTATATCTATTCAATGGGCTTAACTATTTGTATTTTACTTAATTAACAAATTCTACAAAATTTCATCGCTTCTGAAAACATAATTATTAAGTTCTCGTTTCTACATAATATATTTTTATTATATATTTTTTCTCTAGTTATATAATTTGCAATTTTTTTTGCCTTACATTTTCACAAAATTTCGTAATAAAATAGGCACTGAGCGTAACTCATACAACTGATAACTATTTACTTCCATCCTGGCAATACTTTGTCGCTTTTCCTTTTTCGTAATAACCGAAAACAAGTCGCTTTTATTAAAAAGTTTTGGTTAAGTTTTCAAAATTAGAAAATAAAACGGTTTTAACGACAACTTACTTGCCATTAACTGTATAAAAATGGATCCATTGGGTAAATGCACTTCGTGTGAAAGCCAAGAGAGAAAAGAAAAATAAAAAAGTTATTAAGAATATTTTTATTAGTGACCAATACAAAAAGTTATTTGTTAATGTTTTTACTGTTTAACAAAACATTAAAGAGTTGTCTATGACTCTTTTAATTAAATGTAAAATTAATAGGAATTTCACGTGTGAAAGATGACAACGTACGAAAATAACAAGCCGTCTTTACAGTATGTATTGCTCGATATAACGAAGCTACTTTCTATTTAGTAATTAGAAGATTCGCACACGAAAGTACGTCGATTTTATTTACCAACGCGACAAGAGTGCGCGGTGCGCGGGAAATGCCAGATTAATTATGTCCGCGAGCAAAAACTGAACGCACTTTACTTTTTAATTTTTTCTTCGTTTAGGGTTGTCATTACTAATACATTTTTTTTCAAAAAAGTTTTATATCGTGAAATAATTACAAAGGTAAATTAAACTGAATAGAAACTAATAATACATATTCAAATGAGTTTACCACAGTAACCGTTGGTTTGTGACATAAAAATCTCTCTAAAAAACATATCGTCATCTCTGTCATTATCTTTGACAAAACAGAGATAACAATATGTTTTAAACATTTTTATTTTATTTAAGACATTTATTCTCAGAAACCCACGGTTAATGTCATTACTTGTTTGTTTGAAATCACGGTAGTAAGTTGTATTTTTAATTATTTCAATAATCGAACGTTGTTTATAGTGTAATAGATATAAAATCCGACTAGTCCGGTTCTCACGTATCGATTATCCGTTTCGTTACACTCTGACGGCTGAGCTTATTGGCATTAACGGTGTCCGGACGGTTAACCGGACTGTTACCTGGACTAGATATAATTGTATAATGAGAAAAATAGTGCGTATCGTATGAACTACTGATATGCCCTTATCATAGACCATAGATACAGTTTATTTTTTGAAGCACCGATAGCTTTATGGTTACGTTAGGCATAAGGGTACTAATTCGAATACGCTATTCGAATCCCGCCATTCCACTACTGTCATGAACCACAATCAATCACAAGCTTCTGGATTATTATTGCGGACGGACTATAATAGATTTCCTTTGCTAAATAGACACAAAGAACATTTTCATCTGGATAAAACATCTAAATTATATGCAATTATATGTGATTTTTGTTATAATAATGACAATAACCAAAAATATAAATACTGATCGGCAAAGGATTTTAGATTTTATTGCTTTAAGAATAGAGATTATTAACATTTAAATGTACAGATAAGGTTTTTATAAACGCAACAGCGCGTATATCCCTTCTTTAGAAGGTCTCTACCAAGGTTTTTATTGGTTTTTCGTTGTTTGCAAATGAATATGACGAATGACACAGGATGGATATTAAAAATGTTGTATTAGAGAACGAACAAATCTAGGGTCATCCCTCGGCTTCAACACTAGATGCGTCAAAGATCTTACGAAATTATACAATAACTTATTATTATCCAAACAATGGTTTGATCATCGGCGCCTTGTCTGACCCATTTCAACCATAGACAACAGTTTTGTCAATGTCAATTGTCTGTGGTGACATTGGCGAAAAAGCATTCCGATTATAGACATAATGGTTACGACATTTTTGCTATTGTAACTTATTCTTTTTGTTTGTTGTTTGTTTGTCTTATTGTTATATTTCAATCGAAATAGGAATTCCCTCGATTATATTTATCTAGACAGAGTTTTCAGTTTATACCAAGTCACTAGTCACAAGTGACTTAGCCTAGGTTAGGTAGCCATGGTGGCTCAGTGCGGTATGCTTCTCTCATAACACGCCAAAAAAAAAAACTAAAGCGTGACTTTGTTGATGACGTTTAAAAACAAAATGGTGGTTAATGTTCACAAATGGATACTCGTGATTTCAATCATATTGTATTTTAACTGGCAGTCCAATTTATTTTATTGTGGTTGCGAACGACAGTCACATGCCACCTACCAATGACTTGATGTCTCATTTCTTCAATTGTGTACTTTGTACATGCTGGCTAGGTATAGAGTCTTTGTAAAACAAATTCTTTAATAGAGATTCTATTAAACAAGAAAAAACATAGAAATTAATTTCAATTAAGTCACATTTTCGTGCTAGGCCCTTAGATTTTAATTTGTATTAAATATTAAATAACATATTACGTAACTAACTTGCAAAGGCTGCACAAAATCTACGTTGTTATTTTATCTGGAACCATTGTTAAAGTACAGTCAACGTCACATGTGTTCAAATGTAAAATAAACATTTTGCTAACCTTTTTTATTCAATTTATACTTTACTAGCTATCGCCCGCGATTCCGGCCGCGCGGTATTAAAAATAAAACACAATTATGCCTATGTATTCTTCCAGATTATGGTCTATATGTAACTAACATAGCGTTTCATCTCAAAATTAACTTGACTATTAATTTTAATTAATAATAAATTTAAATATTTTTACTAATTGAAACATAATTCTTAATGGTCTAACTTACCGTAGTGATTTTAAATACCGTCCATGTGAAAACATTTCCGACGCAGACTGTACGTAATTAAACACCTGTGCAATTTGATGCGCTGTTTTTTGGCACAGATTAAAAAAAACCTGCTGCTGTTAGTCTTCCTTTTATTTTATAAAAATTACGTAATGATGGTATAATCAGAAACACTGTAATTTTGCAATAGCGACTTAATAAATGGTTATAAATATACATGAATAAATAGTCTTTGAATTTGTTATCTAGTCCATAAATATTATCTCTTAACTCTTATAGAGAATTTCTGTAGTAATATATAAATCAGAGAGATTTTTTAGGAGATTTGTTTACATGTATAGGTCATCCAGCTTATGATTTATGGACTAAATGTTAAACACGACCTGATCTAGATCAATCGATCATAATTTAAATAAGAGCAACTGAAAATTCACTAAATATAGCTGATATAAAATATTCCATTCCGTTCTTTCTTTCTCTTTAAAATTATTCTAAGTTTAAGATTTTGCGACCCGGAAATCAAAGATATCCATTGTATAAAGTACTAGTTGTCGCCCGCGACTCCGTCCGCACGTAATTAAAAGAAAACTTAATCAGTAGCCTATGATTTCTTCCTGCCTGTGTTCTACATATATGCCAAATTTCAACGAGATCTATGCAGTCGACTTGGAGATAACCTCAAATATCCATTCATCCACCCAAACTTTCGTATTTATAATATTAGTAAGATGACTAATATAAACATTTTACTAATGAGAAAAAATGAGGTAATTTATCTATTCGTTAATAACATTCGTGTAAAAAGTAAGTATATTTTAAAAGTTGCATGTTAGACGATAACTGATGTTATACAGTTCTTTATGAGAGAAATTATAGCAGGCCTGTGTACACATCTGTCAGTGTGTTACAAATTCGCGATATACCACGAATGGGCGGAAGCGTAACGGTCTCATTCTGCAATATTTTACTAATGTTTACCGTCGACATTTATTAATTTTTATTATTCCGTTACCGTCTGATATTATCGTAGTTAAAATTTATAATGTTAATCTGTATATAAGTATTTTTATTTATGTAATTGGTTGGACAGAAACAAATGTTACCCTATCTCTTCGAGATATTTAGGCCATGAATGCCATAGCGAGTTAGGTTAATGCATCGCCAAATAACTGACACAATTAACTTTCTAACTTATATATAGACAGTTTTATTTACATTCGCATTTATAATATTAGTATTATAAAACAAATTTCAATTCTTATAAATGGATTTAAGATTTAATAGGAATTGATTTGATTGGTTTTGACTCGTCTACAAATTGTACCCGGATCCGTGTCATATAGGAAGTTATTGGGTCGTAACTCTCGACAATTTACTTTACCTGCAGTGATTATTTTCTACAGTATTACAGCATTAAGCGCATTTACTGATTACATCAAATGTGTAATCTATACAAAAGTTATCTTTATTTGCGTTGAGAATGGAACAATGTCGCCGCAAAGCAAAGGAAGCGTTTTCTCGTTTCTGAACGAATGCGTCAACGTCATTCGCTGTCAGTCGCCGAAGAGCGCGCAGTCGCGTCGCATGTGCTCGTATTTTGTAAATTTAAATTCAACGGAATTGTTAGATTTATAAATACGCTTTCATAATATTGAGGAAATAAAACAATAAGAAGTGTATCAGTGTGTGCTTTTGTGTTTTAAAGTTTTGTGAAGAGAACACTGTACAAGTTTATTGTTTATTAAACAGAAGTTAAGAATTGTGAGTATACTTTAAACTTTCCTTTTTTGATTTGTTACCAAAACAAAACTT